ATATATATATATATATATATATATATATATATATATATTAACCTCACAAGGCTTTACTACTATTGTTTTATATAGTTAATATTTATTTATGAGTAACCACTTCAAAAAAATTTTTTTTTTCAAAGTTGCATTGTGGTCAGAATATATACTTTATTTTTTTTTAAGTAATTTTATTTTTTATTTACTTATTTATTTTTTGGCTGCATTGGGTCTTTGTTGCTGCACGTGGGCTTTCTCTCTAGTTGCAGCGAGCAGGGGCTACTCTTTGTTGTGGTGCACAGGCTTCTCACTGTGGTGGCTTCTCTTGTTATGGAACACAGGCTCCAGGCACATGGGCTTCAGTAGTTGTGGTGTGCGGGCTCAGTTGTGGCTCACAGGCTCTAGAGTACAGGCTCAGTAGTTGTGGTGCACGGGCTTAGGTGCTCCGTGGCATGTGGGATCTTCCCAGACCAGGGATCAAACTCGTGTTCCCTGCATTGGCAGGCAGATTCTTAACCACTGCACCACCATGGAAGTAACCACTTTTTCTGTTGTTCTTTATACCTTCCTGCATCTCTGATTTTCCTTTTGGGATCAATTTTCTTCTGAATTCTCTTTAATAATTCTTTTAGTGCAGCTTGCTGCTGACAGAGTCTCTTAGTTTTTGTCTGAAAATGTCTTTATTTCACCTTCAAATTTGAAGGATATTTCCACTGGGAATTTGAACTCTAGGTTGGCAGTTAATTTTTTACGGAACTTTGAAAATGTTCCATTGTTCTCTGGCTTTCATAATTTTTTTGGAGAAGTTGGGGCTTTTATTGTTGGTCCTTTAAAGGTAATATTTCTGTTTTCTCTAGCTGCTTTTAAGATCTTTTTCTCTGTCTTTTGTTTTCTGCAGTTTTATTACAATGTACCTGGTGGGGTGTGTGTATGTGTGTGTGTGTTTGTATTTATCCTGTTTTGTATTTTGCATTGATTTTTTAATTGGGGGTTTTAATGTCTTTTATCAGTTTTGCAAAGTTCTCAGATGCTATCTCTTCATATATTGCTTTTGCTCCACTTTCTCTCTTTTTCTTCTGGGTTTCAATACATTTGTTTTTGTTTTTGGTTTTTTTTTGCGGTACGTGGGCCTCTCACTGTTGTGGCCTCTCCCATTGTGGAGCACAGGCTCCGGACGCTCAGGCTCAGCGGCCACGGCTCACGGGTCCAGCTGCTCCACGGCATGTGGGATCTTCCCGGACCGGGGCACGAACCCGTGTCCCCTGCATCGGCAGGCGGACTCTCAACCACTGTGCCACCAGGGAAGCCCTGGGTTTCAATACATTTGATTGATTCACCATGTCCCGTAAGTTTCGTATTCTCTAATGTGCCTTTTCCATCATTTTGGCCTTCAGTGTTTCAGTCTCGATTTTTCTTCTGGCCTAGCTTTCAGTTTCCTAATTATCTCTTTAGCTGGATTCTAATTCGCTCTTAGACTGGTCCATTGAGTTCTAAATTTGTTATTATATTTTTTAGTTCTAGAGTGTCAATTTGCTTACTTTGCCAAAATTTTCCACCCAGCAATTTAACTTCCTAGGCATAGTAATTACAGGGCTTTTTTAAAGTTCATGTCTGATAATTACAACTTTTGGATCTTCTGAGGGTCTCTATTTATTGATAAACAAAGGAAGAAACAAACAATTCTTGTCTTTTTGTGTGCCTGATATTTTTGGTTGAGTACCAAATATTGAATATAAAAAATCGATGCAATAATTTGAGTTGCCGGATGATATTATCTTCCTCCAGAGAGAACTTGCTTTTGCTTCTGGCATTTGGTTGGGCTAGGAATCTCTCACTTAAATTAAATCAGAGAATATTTCAAAGCTAGTTTCAGTCTAATTCCTTGTCATCCTTACTGAAAAGGATTCAGCTAAAAGCCTGGTGTCATTACCAGGGCTATTCCCCTTAGTGGGCCATGAATTTAAATTTGTTTCCTCTCTTCCCTTCAAAAATGCCTAAAATTCTTAACAGCTTCTAAGTCTTTCAGTCATAACTTCCTTCTCTGCTTCTCAGCCTTAGTTTTACTTTGGAACTGTCAAGTGCCTTGAAGTGAAAAGTGAGGCCAAATCAGGATATTACCTCTCTGGGTTTCCCTCCTCTCTGAGGTCTTGGTTGCACAAGTCCTTATTGAATTGGTAGCTCAAGTCATTGTTTTATAGTATTTTGTCTAGATATTTGATTAGATGAAACTACATGAAATTTGCACTTTTCATATCTCAAAACTGGTTGCCTATTGGCAATATCATACAGATCCCAGGGGGAGGGTTGGTCTAAGACAAACTACTATACCATTGCTAGAAGCAGAATTCTCAAAATCTGGGGTTAAAGTAACCAAATGCTATGAGAGCATTGAATAAGTGTACAAAGATGACTAACACATATATTCATATATAATAAACATGTTCATCAAAGAATATTTTTCCTGTGTAGTAAGGTGTATGCTTCTTATTTCTTAGAGTCAAGTTTAGATGGCAAGTCAACTGCACTAGAAATCTCAATGTAATAAGAAAAAATGATCTGTGTACCGGAAAAGATTATTACTGGGAAATGGTCCTTGTAACTTACGTTTCTCATTTCTTTTTCTGAAGGATTGCTTATGGATGCCCAAATGCATGAAGTTTGGATGGTTTCTGCCCTATACGCCAACAGATAATGAGTATGGTGCTTGGAAGCACCATTACATTGCTGTGTGTCCAACTTAGATTGGCTAACCCCTAGGGAAGCCGCAGCTCTTTATGGGACCCTGACTGAACCCAAAACAGAAGATGAGCAACTACAGGAGAGGCAAAGAAAAAAGTGCCTAAGGAAAATACTTTGGGAGAAAATTGCACTACGTAAGAGTGAGTGGCATTTTACAACTTTATATCTTAACCAAGTATTGTAGAAACCAATGGATTTACATACAAATTCCCATAGAAGATAGCGAGGTCTTTCTGAAACAGCCTGTAAGTGGCATTCTCTAAAGTATCTCAGGACAAAGTCTTTTTTTCTTCACTATTAATTAAGAAAAACAAAAAGATTTCTGATAAAATATGTAAGGTCAAATGTCAGTGCCTCTGTGAGACCAAAGATAAGGAGAGAGAAGTACGAATACAGGCAAAAGCAAATAAATAGGATCAGGACAATTGGGAAGAATTAGGATTGGTGAAAAAGGAGGAAAAATGAAAATGGAAACGGAAGCAGGAATAATGACATTTTTTTTTAAGTGGAAAGGGAGTAAGGATGAGACACTCTCTGAGCTAAGCCTTCTGATTTACACGGTGTGTAAAGGTAATGAGCAAACCTGATTAGAGTTCTCCCATCTTTTTTTTCACTTACTCACCCTCTGTGAGATTGTAACAAATGGGAAATTACTTGAAGCCAAGAAGGCCAAAAATGAGGTAAAGCCTACAAACTGATGAACTTGTTTCTACAAGAAAAGAGTTGCTTATTCTCTGAGCTTGTTTCTTGACCTGAAGTGACTGGTAACTTGCAGCCACAGAGCCGAGAGGATAAGAAAACCAAAGAGTGTGTAAAAAGTGGCTATAATTACTGCCATCTGGAATACTGCCTTGGAACAGCTTTATTTTTATGCCATTAACTGTGTAGACTTGGATGGGAGAAGCATGAAGTAAACAGCCGAGCCTGCTGCTGTTTGTTTTTCAGAGGATTTGTTCAAAGTTCGACCCCCTTGGGTGAATGGAACATGCTGCTCTAGATTGGTCAAATCCAAATGCCAACCACATCTCTCCCAAACTGAGAGGGATCGAGTGGGATTACAGGAAACTTTGGAGAAACAGCTTGTTTTGGCATCTTTAGAAGCTTTGCCCAAGTGGTAAGCAAACCTCCATCTTATGACACCAAGAATTCATTCTAGAATAATTCAGCTAACATGCAGGGATCTTGTATAACTATATGGCTCTCATCCTATGAAACAGCAGTAGAAATAGTTCCTTAATCTTCAAGAACAGTGGTCTTAAACGTGCTTGTTGAAGAGGGAGATACATAACATTCAAAATTTACATTTTAAATATTCTTAACCCCGCACAGAGGCTATATTGTGGACGTACTGTATTTTCTGTATAAAGTTATTGAGCAAAAACATTTTTTGTTTTGTAACATTTTTCCAGAAATTTTTTTGTAAGGAGTAAGCCTATCTGAATGGTGATGGGGGAGGGGTGACTGTGGTGAGAATGGACGCTACTCAGAAAATCATGAGGCCCAGGTGATTAAGGAAATTTAAAATCTCTTGACTGCTCCTTCTACAAATGTCATTTTGAGCCCTTAAGTATGTCACTACATTGGTTTTAAGTGCCCCACAAAAGTAAGTTCCAAGAGCCCTTTCTGGCATCCCACAAATGCAGGAGGAGAGGCCCACAGGGCAGCTTTGGACCCACTCGCCCAGGAGCCCCATTTGCCGCTGTCCCTAAAACCGCAGGGAGAGACTGAGGTACTGAGGCCTCTTGTCTTGTACAGGATAACTGATGTCCAGAGGACATACTGGTGCTCACTTGTCAAAGTCAAATTAAGAGAAAATCAAAACTTCACTTATTCTCCCTTTTTCCCTCCAGAAGCAATGTTTCTGGATGCCATTCCTACCCTTTATTATCAAAGAAAAATTGGCATGGAGTTTATAAAAATGACAGCAGCTCTTCAATGCTCTCCAGCCACACTTCATATTAGTATCATCTCGGATTCCTGCATATGAGGTACAGAGTGTGTTAGGAGGCCAGTCCTGTCTTGAATCGGGTCTTTTTCATCTCCCCTAGAGGACGTGTGGCAATCTTTTGGTCACCATGTGTATGAAAATGATTCATTTTCTAAAAGGAAAGCAGTCTGATCTAGGTGGAAATGTACAGACCCAAACAGTTTTAAAAAATCAGAAGCAATAAAAATAACCATAAATCAAAATTATTTTTTAAAAAGTATTAAAGACTCAAACTTCCTAGCATTTAGTAGGTGTCCAATACATTTTTACTGAATCGAATTTGTTGCACTTAATCCTTAAAAGAGCAAAGTGACACAAATTATTTTAAATTTTCTTTGGAATGACCAAGGAACTTAATAATATCATGTAACTACCATCTCTCAAAAGAAAAATGTCAGAAATCCTACTTTGTGATCTATTTAATGAGGGTGCCATTAGATGAAAATATGCTTTCTATAATGAAATTATATATTTTAAATTTCAATATAAGAAAAAGGAAGCACAAAGAAGACATAGGAAGCATGTATTTATATATATGTATGTATATATGTGTATATATACATGCATTAATACACACATAAGCACATATGTAAGGGATGGCATTAGTAGACTACATTCAATGGCTTACCTAGAAAATTTTTGCAAAAATTTCTTATTTGTAACAAAATGGTTGCTTTCAAGGTATGAAATCACTTTTCTTTTTGGGCATCTAGGAACTGACTTTGATCATTTACAACTGGCTAGCTTAATGCATCCACATGAAAGCAAGATCAGAGTTTTGATCTCCATGTGGGCCATAGATAGTTTCTCTAATGTTTAAAAATGCATAATGCTGGGCACAGAGGATAACTGGTGACAGAGTTAGGGTGAATAAACTGGAATCAAATGAGTCCACTCTCCTATTTGTCTTCTTTACATAAGACTATGCCATAATTACTTATTTGACTATGAATGTAATGGAGGTTTAGGTAAAAACCAGAATGTAACCATGTGGCAGTTCTCTATTCAGTTGAACTGTGACCTCCAGAAAGTGGCATGAAGTTTTGGGAAAAATCAATGCCTTCAATTACTTTCCAACCTGTCTGCTGCTAATGAATTAACTATATCACAATGAAAGGTTTATTTGGTTGTTGAATTAAAAGAACAGTGGTTTTAATATTTACTTAAATGGGAAATATTTATCAACATTGATCATCTGAAAATTCATAATTAAGAGGAAAACAAAATCTTTTCTTTCTTTTTTTTTTTTTTTTGTGTTACGCGGGCCTCTCACTGTTGTGGCCTCTCCCATTGCAGAGCACAGGCTCCGGATGTGCAGGCTCAGCGGCCATGGCTCACGGGCCTAGCAACTCCGCGGCATGTGGGATCTTCCCGGACTGGGGCACGAACCCGTGTCCCCTGCATCGGCAGGCAGACTCTCAACCACTGCGCCACCAGGGAAGCCCACAAAATCTTCTTAAGAAGTCCATTACAAAATTGTATGATCTCGATTTTATTATTTTTAAAAGCAGTATATATGTCTCTGTGCATGGGTGTGTACAAGGAAAAAAGCTAGAGGAAAATAATTTGTTAGTATTTCTCTCTGAGTGGTGGAGGTACAAATGCACTTAAATTTCCCCTCTTAGAAAAGAAACAAAATAATTTAAAAAGGAACCAATGAAGGGGAAAGCTTATCTTCCTCCTATAGCTTTTGAAGAAAAACAATGGTCTTTAAAAATCACAGATTACATATTCACTGTTTTTAATTTATTAATAAGTGTTCTAAAGTAATGAGCTTTGGTTCCTACAGCTCTGGTTTCATTTTCTAGATGGTGGTGAACAGTGTTAGAGCAGATATGACATTTTGATTTTACCCCCTTAGGCTATAAAATTGGTATTAAAAATTTACTGAGGCCTGAAGTGAGAGACTTCTGGGAGAAATTAGGAAGCTATGTGGCCCCTGGAGAAGAAGGGGGTCACGTGGACCTCTTTGTACGACTCGGAGCAATCAGGTCAGTTTTGAGAGGTAGTGGTCATACCTGCCTTGTGATGGTATTTTGTGGATTTATAAAATGCCGTCAGTTCAAATGATTCAGTCACATTTACTTTTTATTTTTTTTCTCTTTATACTTCACATACTCAGGTATTTAGGGGGAAAGGGCATCAGGGTTAGTGGTCAGAGTAACTGTCCCTAAAGAAATAAAGTCACTAGTGGCAAGAGCCAGCCAGGAAATTTGTTTCTGTTTCTTCTGAGTATTAAAAACGGTGAAGTGCCTTGTAAAGATGTGTGGTAGCTGATAATCTTAAGTGCCTACCTGTCTAATATCAGCCATATTTAACAGATATCTGTTAAATAAAAGCTCTGTATTCATGGACTCATGAGCTATGTTTTTTTGTTTGACTGTTTTTGTTTTTTTAATCAAGCAGAGGAGAGGGAGTGTGAAATTAAAGTTTCTCGAACTGTTTCTTACTACCCATTCCTTAGGGAACTGTGAGTTTTAAAGTTCTTAATCCTCAGATTTCACTGAACTATTCAGTACATACAAAGCATGACCCTGGCAGGATTCCACAAGGCAAAGGAAAAAAGCAAAAGGATAGGAAGGAGTTTAAAAGAAAACAAAGCATAAATTATTGTAAAAAAAACATTTTTTTTTTACAGTTACTACAATTATATAATCTCAACTATGTAGAAAATAGGCATAGAAAACTCTAGGAGGAAATATAGCAAACTCTTAACACCATCTATTTCTGGACGTGTTTTTCAAATTTCCTACTTTTAAAAAATTACTCTTTGAAAAGAGTAAGTTACAAAGAATATGGAAGGTGTGATCCCAATGCTTAAATCCCGTGTATGTGTCGGGGAGGGTGGTGGTGGTGTGTGCGTATAAAAGGGGTTTGGAAGGATGTATACCAACATGCTAACAATAGTTGGATGAGTGAGTTTTCCTTTCTTTTTTTTTTTCCTTTTTCTTTTATCTCTTTTATTTGCCTCTATTTTCTGTAGTGAACTAATATTACTTTTAAAATGAGAGCAAAACAAATTTTCTAAAATTTGTTTTGGAAAAAAAGAAAGGATGAGGGAAAGTAAAGTATTCAAAGGCCGAGAGAGTGAGGGTGAAAAAGGAAAAGAATAATAGATTTTTGGTGACACAAAAATGGTCTCAAGTGAAACTTAATGGTCTTCAAACAATGGATTTCCCACCGCCATTCTGGGCTCCAAAATCATCGCTGAACTTTGTGCCAAATATAATTTCCACCTGTGTGAACCATCGAGCCCCTGGTTCAGTCAGAAGGCCCAGGCTTCTCAGTCACGAATCTCTTTCCCACCACCTCAGGCATCACTCTTGAGCTTGTCCTCCCAGGTAGCTGTACCACCTCTGAAATCTTGATCTCAAGCATTTGTCTCTCCGAGTACCACTTCCAAATCATATACTCAAGTATTCCCACTCTATCAGTTCTTCGTCTGAGGACCTCCAATGCACACACTCCCACTTTTTCACTCTCTATCACCATGGCTTCGACCTTGGTTCCTTCCTCATTAAACTTGGATTTAATGGTTCGTCATTATCATTACTCTCTTGCAAAGAATCTGAACTTCTTTGTTTCTTTTTGTCCTGGCCAAATCCCAGCTCATTTGGCTAAGTCCCAATGCTGGTTAAAACACAACCATCTGCATAATCTATGCCTGCCTGTACTAAGGCAGCTGAAGACTGCTGGAAAGAGTAATACAACTGTTCTTACTGATCTAAGTTTAATGGCATAAATATCAAATGGGATTGCAGCTCTGATAAGCAATCCTATCACATTTCCTTGGTAAATTCGTTTCCCCACTCTTAAAATGACTATGTTGCCCCTTCTCTCCTTTTTTTTTTTTTTTTTTTTTTTTTTTTTTTGCGGTACGCGGGGGCCTCTCTCTGTTGTGGCCTCTCCCATTGCAGAGCATAGGCTCCGGACGCGCAGGCTCAGCGGCCATGGCTCACTGGCCCAGCCACTCTGCAGCATGTGGGATCTTCCGGGACCGGGGCACGACCCCGTGTCCCCTGCATCGGCAGGCGGACTCTCAACCACTGCGCCACCAGGGAAGCCCCCTTCTTTCCTTTAGTCAATCTTTCAATAACTCTCTCACTTGATTTCACCTTTTACTTCCCTAAGGAAACTCCTTAATTTACCGCCCACCACAAAATCCGCCCCCTATCCCACCTCTTACCTTCATTCTATCTTCTCTTCTGTTACGATGGAGGAAGCACCCCTGCTCGAATCAAACATCAACTACTCCGCTTGGACTCTGTAACACATCGCCTTTCACCTTCCCAAGACGTCAATCCTGCGCTCAAATCCTCTCCCACAGCCTCAGTCCTCTCTCTTTAGTGGATTATTCCTATCAGATCAAGAACACCTGTCGTAGCTCCGCCCCTCTCGCTCCCCCGCAAAAAGAGAGACCGTAAACTTTGTCTCACCAATTTTTGAGTGGACTATACCAGTGGTTCTCAAAATTTTCACGTGTATTTGACTCACAGAGGGCTTGTTACAATCCGCATTGCTGGGTCCCAGCCTAGAGTTTCCGATTCAGGAGGTCTGGCACAGGGACTGAGAATTTGCATTTCTAACAAGTTCCCAGGTGATGCCAATGCTGCTTAACCCGGGGGCCACACTTGGAGAACCGCTGGTCTAGCTGACTGCCTCCACCTTCCTCACCTCTCACTCACCCCTCAAGCTCGTCCAAGTGGTCTCCTTCTGCTGAAATCACTTTGGGAAAACTATAAGTGACTCTCATGTGCCCAAACCCGACGGTCCCTTCTCCATCCTCACTGGGCCTTGACCTCTCAGTGGCGTTCGAGGAGGATGAAGACTTCTGGAAACCCTCCTTCTTCCCGTGCTTTCCCCAATACCACCCCCTCCTCGTTTGCCTCCTACCTCAGGGGTCTCTTCCTCTCGGACTCCTTTGCTGGCTCCCGCTCCTCCTCCTCAAGACCCTTAAATGGGTCCCGGACTTGATCTCGGGCTCGCATACTTTCCATGACTACACTCTTCCCCTAGGGAGCCTCATTTATTCCTATGACTCTACATTCAACCTGGATGCTGAAGACTCCCAAACTTATGTCTCCAGCTCTAAAATCTCTCAGCTGCACTCTCATCTAGCCTTTACTTGACATCTTCATGTGGGTGTTTAGTTTGCATGGCTAATGGGCATCTCAAAGTTCACACGCCTACAGCAGACTCTTGATTGCCTCCCAGCACAAACCTCCCCCTCTCCCAGGATTCCTCTTAAGATATCATCATTCACCAGTTACTGGGTAAGCCAGACACCTAAAACTCATCTTTCTCGGCATTACTTAAATTGTTTTAACAGCTTTATTAAGGTACAATTGATATACAGTATTTCAAGCGTGTAATTTGATAAATTTTTTAAGTGATTTTTAAATTTTTATTTATGTATTTATTTATTTATTTTTGGCTGTGTTGGGTCTTCGTTGCTGCACTCGGGCTTTCTCCAGTTGCGGCGAGCAGGGGCTATTCTTTGTTGCGGTGCATGGGCTTCTCTTGTTGCGGAGCACGGGCTCTAGGTGTGCTTGCTTCAGCAGTTGTGGCTCGTGGGCTCTAGAGCACAGGCTCAGTAGTTGTGGTGCATAGGCTTAGTTGTTCCACAGCATGTGGGATCTTCCCAGCCCAGGGATTGAACCTGTGTTCCCCTGCATTGGCAGGCGGATTCTTAACCACTGTGCCACCAGGGAAGTCCCTAATTTGATAAATTTTGACATATGTCTGTCTACACACTATGTGAAACCATAAACCAGTCAAGATAATGAACACATTCATCATCCCCCAAAGATTCCTCCTGCCACTTTGCAATTTCTCACTCTGCTTTTCCACTCCAACCTGAGGCAACCAGATTTCACAATATATTAGTTTGCACTTTATAGAATTTTCCATAAATGGAATCATACAGTATGCATGCATTTTTGTCAGGCTTCCTTCACTCCAAATAATTATTTTAGATTCATCCACTTCATGCTGTTATCAATTGTTCATTCCTTTTTACTGCTGGGAATGATTATATTGTATAGATATACCACAACTTGTTCCATTCACCTGTTGATAGATATTTGAGTTCTTTCCAGTTTGGGGCTTTTACAAGTAAAGCTGCTGTGAACATATGCTTTCATTTCTCTTGGGAAAATACCTAGGAGTGGAATGAATGGGTCATATGATAGGTGTATGTTTAACTTTAGGGAAAAAAAGAAAAAGAAAAGCTAAACTGTCTTCCAAAGTGGTTGTGTCATTTTATATTTCCACTCCAGCTGCCCAACACTTGGTACGGTCAGTCTTCTTAATCTGAGCCATTCAAATGGGTGTGTCGTGGTATCTCACTGTAGTTTTAATTTGCATTTTCTCTAATGACTAATGACGCTGAGCATCTTTCCATGTGCTTATTTGCCATTTGTCTTCCTTGGTGAAGTGTCTGTTCAAAACTTTTGCTCATTTTAAAAATTAGGTTTTTTTGTTTTTTTATTGAGAGATCCTTGTATATTCTGGAAAAGTTGTTTGCAAATATTTTCTCCCAGTCGATGACTTATCTTTTCCTTCTCTGAACAGTTTCTTTTGAAGACAAGAAATTCTTAATTTCGATAAAGTCAAATTTATCAGTCTTTAAGTTTTATAAATCATGCTTTTGATGTCATATCTAAAAACTCTACCTAACCAAGGTCACTTCTGTGTTTTCTCCTAAATTGTTTATGGTCTCAAGTTTGAAATTTGGGTTTGTGATCCATTTGATTTATGCTTTTTCTTTTTTTAAATAGAACACAAGGTATGGAATGAAGTTTTTTTTTTTTTTTGAAACACATGTGTCTATCTATGAAATTATTTCAGCACCATTCCTTGTAGAGACCATGCTTTTCCCGGTGGATTTCATTTGCATCTTTGGTGAAATCAATTGACTATATATGTGTAGGTAACTTATGAATGCTCTTTAATTTCACTGATCTATTTGTCAATGAAAACATTAGACACCAATAAGTGAGAGACACCCCGACCTTTGAGCCACTACCATCTCGTTGCAAGCAACTGAAACAAGTTGGAGTAACTGTTTACTCCTAGACCACAAAGAATTAAAATGTATTACCCTATAGTTTCATTTGAATTTGTTTAATCTATATGCTGTGTCACCAAAGAAGGGGTCAAATTAATGCTAAAATTTGACCACTGTATTCCATTATGTGTTTAACAGTTTTAAAACTGTCCCGTTACAATGAGACTTCTTTGCATCAGACTATTTTAGAAAATATATGTAGACTTTTCTCTGTCTTTGGCCTGAGAATTCCAAATTTGAAAATAAGCACCAGGTCAAACTTCTCGCCTCTTTCTCCAACCTGTTGTTAGTCCTCCTGAATAAAGGGTGTGGACTTCAGCACTTAGGGGTGAACTGCAAAGTGTTGATGGACTATTCCATGAGGGATTTGAATTGAAGACAAGACCTACAAGTGGCCTTTCTTGGCCAGCTCATTAGTACTTCTAAGTAATATTTAACTGTTCATGGCAAAACCTGTGAGCAAACTCATGAAAGTATTTTTGGCTGTGCAGAGGCAGGAACAGAAGTTCTTTCTCAGCTGTCTCAACTGACTGGCACGTTATTGACCGCCCCCCACTGGGATTGCCACCGGCTCGTACCAACACAGTAAGGGAATATGGGCAGTGACCACCGTGCCCAATGACACCCACCAACTCCAGGATCACCAAGGACAAAGCACAGCTCATAATCCTGGTTCTGGCCATGGTTCATTCCTCTCTGAAGGAATGCTGTCACTTCCCAAACTAGGTCATTTCTCATCACTCAGAAGGGGATTATTATTGCTCAGAAGGGGATTATTACTGCAAATATTTGCTTCAAACCATCACTTGCAAAAACTCCGTTGAGAACACCAGCTTTAACAGCTAAACAAAGATGTACAGTAGCTGATTTAGAGAAGTAATAAATACAGAGAACAATTTTTCTTAGTAAAACATTATCAATGTGCTATCATTTGGAAAAATGAATTGCAGCTATAAAGAGATGGTGAAGGGGCCAGCTCAAGTTTCATTATCCGAGAGGAAGAACAAAGGTGAAATACACCTGAGAGCAAAATTTCACTTAGATACTAAAGCTGCAACTGTTGGATCAAAATGTAACATAGGCTGACCAACAGAGAGAGCCAAATTGCTTTGCTATAATAATGTTAATCATTTACCCCTTTAAAAATCCCTCACCTTCTATCAAAGAGGACTCGGAGTGATGTAAAACTATATAAAGCATTGCTTCTCTAATCCTGAACGCTAAGGGCCTGTCAAGACTGAGGAGAGCTGGCATGATTGGGAGGCTTGTAAGGGAAAAGTTTCCATATAGATACAACAAAAAGCACATCGACCTAATATAGTTTTGTAGCAGAAGTGTTGGTTAATTTTAGTTTATACAGCACCATCATCCAATGAGAGCATATTTGGCCCCAAGCAGGGAGGAATCAGCCTTGCAGAGACAGCGGGGTGCAGACACTGCTGTTTACAAAACAGGTTTTCTTCTTTTTTCCTCCTCTGTCTCCTTTTCCTCCTTTTCCCACTCTTCTTCTTCTCCTAGAAGAACATGTTACAAATACTTTCACGTTTATCAGCAGAAAATGTGGGGAGAATAATCCAACTGTCCATTTAGGACAGAAAATCAAATTTCACTTGGCCCTGTATCATTCAGTCACTGATTTTCAAGGAGAGGAACTTTCTTAAGCACCCAGTACAGTCTTGTAGAGATATTTGTAGAGAAAGAGTAGCTTGACATGATGTAAACAAGATACAGGCTTGGCTACAATGGGGATGACTTTGGATGACCCGATGGGGAAACCAGGCAGAGTCGGGTTTTCCTGTATTTTTATTTTTAAGAAGTAAACATACAACTGTATATCCTTACTGGGATGTCTATTTGGCTTTCTGATGCAAAAATCCAGCAGCTATTTAATTTCTGATTTCAAACACAGTATAACATGTCAGCCTTATCCATCAAAGAGTAGATAGGCATTTGAAATTATTCATTGCATCCTTTTTGCGTTTCTAATTTTACCTTTGAAAGCAGACTATGGGTGTTTATCTTAGTCTTCTAATGAGAAAGGATAATAAGCCTGATATAAATGCAATTAAGTTTTTTTTCATACTGTAAACAGGAAGAATTCTTTCATCTGAGCTTAAGTCTGCGATGCTAAAAGGAGAAAATAATGTCAGTTCTTAGTGACTGGCTGGGACGACAGTGGGAAAGGGCGCCCCCTTCCACCTACTTCAGCGAATCAAAGCTGCAGCCGTGGTCCAGCCTCACCGACTTCCTGGAAGACACCTTGAAATCAGTAAGGCAACAGCTAAGTCCTCTCTTCAAGGAGTTGCAGAAGAACATAAGTGGCAGGATGACAGGTAAGAACTCTTGCTACTTCTGTTGCAGCTTAATTTTGAAGCCTGTTACACTTCCAGAGTGAATACAAGTGTAGGAATGCACAAGTAAAAGTTGACTCTTAAGCATCTTTGGTAAAACTTGATTCCCTTTGTTTTTCATATCTCCTTTCAAAATATCATGAATATCCACTAAGAAAAAATATATTCATCTTCAAAATGCTGAAGCTAGTTCCTGGGGTCAAATTTTACCATCTTATTAATTCTGTGTCAGTCAATTGTTTACCTAGGCAAAATTCACTGTTTGCTAATCCAGAGAGTTCGGTCCATTTCCCTCTACAATTTGCTCTAAAAGTTAATTGCCAACATCCCAATTAAGCGTCTCTTAGACCACAGCACCCATGACTTAAACTGTTCTATAATTAAGTTCTATTTATTTTCTATCTAAAATATTTAATTTGGTGATGGGCTCCATGGGCAAGCCTATGTGACATCACTGAATGTGTTTTCTCATTTACACTTCATACTCATGATCCAATTATCACAGTAAAGTCTTTTGGAAACAATTTCCTGTCTCAACTTCAGATCTTCATCTAAACCAGTCAGTTCTTTAAAATGAAGTATTTAAAAACAAACAAACAAACAAAGCCCACCTATTTAAATAGGTTTCTCCTGTGTCTTTAACTGCCTACTCATTTTTCCCTAACTCTTCACATGTCACTGAAACACTGTTCCAATCAAGTCATATGCCTTACTTCTTCCCTTGCCCTGCCCTGCTCCTTATTTGACATCTGTTAACGTAATTACTGTCTACACAAGAGCTGTAACACACAAATATGCATGCGGATATTTTATGTCAACATATGCCTACATCCCTTTACACAAAGGTCTCCAAAGCAGGGATTTGTCTTCTTGGTTTTAACTCTACCACATTTAGTAGATGTTCAACCAGTATTTTAAAAGTTATGAGGCTATAAACAAGGAGAAATTATTTTTCCTGGTTCTTTCACAGATATTAAGAACTAGAAAGAAAAGTGGAAAGATGAATGATAGAAGTATGTCATGTACGTCATAAGCAATGAAAAGTCAAATGGAAAAAGGTTTTTCAAATAAATGCAAGTTTTTCAAAATATTTTTTAAATGTAGAAGATGTCTGTGTATGTATGTTTGTATGTTATTTCCTATGGACTTAAAATATTTATGGATTTGAGCACAAACTTAATGCAGAATATGGAAGCGTTTTTGGTGGAATTGAGAATCTAAACTTTATAAGGGTTTTTTTCACATGTTCTTTCCTTGTCCAATTTATAGATTTCATTCAATACCAGCTTTGTCAGGGTGGGTACTTTCTATATGCTACACATCTAGATGCTTTTGCTCATTTTCTACTTTATCATGGTAGATAACGTGGCATAGTAGAATTTTTATTCTTAGTCTGCATTTTTATCCACTAAGAAGCAACTGTGAAGACTGAGTTTTCTACTTGATCATATCTCTTACATATTTTAATTACAGGCCTATCACCTTATATTTTCAGGGCAATTTGTATCTGACACAATGAGTATGGCTAACATTCTGAATAACCAAGAAATTATACAAGCTCTGGCAGAGGGATTGATAGAACTTTCAAAAGAAAATTCTGTAAGTTTTCCTTTGAATAAAACAAAGTACAAGGGCTTCGCTGGTGGTGCAGTGGTTGAGAGTCCGCCTGCCGATGCAGGGGACGTGGGTTCGTGCCCCGGTCCGGGAAGATCCCACATGCCACGGAGCGGCTGGGCCCGTGAGCCATGGCCGCTGAGCCTGCGCGTCCGGAGCCTGTGCTCCGCAATGGGAGAGGCCACAACAGTGAGAGGCCCACGTAAAGTACAAAAACCCCAACCTTAAATAAATTTTTAGTTTGCATTTATTGTTTTTTACCAGTTTATCCTTCTGGGACACAATTCCTCAGAGAAAGTGCATCAATTTATGAAAAAAAGCCACTGAGAGATTCTGAACCCAAGATGTATGAGCTGCATAAAATAGACATATAGGAAAAATCTCGGTAAGTTAAAGTTGACCACATGACGCACTGTTTTCTGTCTTGTGATTAATTTCAGTCAGAAGTGGCTTTAAAAAACACGTTTAGTGGCTTATATTTCACATAAACATTATTCAACAGTTAAAACAATTATGGCAGAAAACCTGAGAAAGTGTGAAATCAGATATAAAAAGATGAAGGGCAAGGAAGGCTAGATAAGAGAGGAAGGGAA